GGGAACCCGGACTTCATCCGGCGAGCGAATTCCCAGCAAATAAAAACCCTATCATTACAAGACGTACTTTAGACGTCATTTCTTTTGTCTTTTAGACGTCTTTTGGATCAGACATAAATCGTCGTTTAGTTGTCTTTTTTATTACTCAGAGACATTACCATCATTGTCCCCGAATTGTCCGCGGACAAAAAGGGACGTCTTTATGACGTCCCTGTGCCCACTGGGACTTGAAGCGTATCTTTTAATTTCTAAAAAAAATTGGACAAGTGCGAGTTGAACTCGCACTGCAATGGCGGGTTCCGTACACAAATATTAAAACAATACTTGCAACATTTATCGGTAATTGGTAGAATTAAAATAAACAATTAAAAAAATATATTAATATCATTTGATAAAAAAAATAAATAAAAAAATTAAAGTGTTGTATATATCTAATATTGTAAACAATAATAAGTAGAGGAACAAAATTTGTTGCTGTTTTTATTGTTTTATTTTTAAAGTTTTGTAAAAAAATTTTAAAAAATGTAAAAAAAAATTTTTGTTAAAAAATCTAAAAAAAAATTTTTTTAAATTTTTTTTTTAGATTTTTAAATATATTTTTTGTGATCAGACTGTAAAAATAGACTAATAAACCCATTTTTAGTTAATTAGATCAAATAATGTAGAAATTAGAAAAAAAAAATTTCAAAATTTTTTTTAGTTTTTCCTTGACAACGCTATGGACATTAATACATAGAAAGTTCTCTATATTTTTCCTGTAATATTCACGATAAAATACACCAGTATGCCAAATTTTAGCCCTCCATGTTGAATAGTTTAGAAGTTAAGGGGGGGGGGGAATGGTCACTTTTTATGCATTTTTGCCCAAAAATCTTGTTATTTCCTTGACAACTCTATGACTATCATCTCCAAACACATTCTCTATATTTTTCCTGTAATCTACGAGTGAAAATACATATCTGTACCAAATTTGAGCTCTCTAGGTCAAATAGTTTAGCCGCTAGGGGGGGGACACGATTTGGCTACGGACAACAGAGTCTCACCAACAGGGTTCCGCCGATACACCGTAGGTGTACGGAACCCTGAAAATGAAGTTTTTTAGAATAAATTTGAGATATTTGGAACCGTGAAATATCACAGATTCAAAATTTTTGATTTATAAACTTCAATTAGTTAAATTAAACAAATTTCAAGTCATAAAGTTTTTGTTTAAAAAATCATAAACCTTCAGAACAATGCCTTTTTTGCCCACTCAACTCAACTCAGTCACAATGACCAATTCACTACGCACCTTTCTTTAACAATAGATTTTCCGAATCTACTGTGATGATTTAAAAACAAGAATTTTATAACTTTAAAATTCTGCATTTTAACTAATTCAACTTTGTAACATAAAAATTTAGAATCTATGGTATTTTACAATTCCAAATATCTAAAATTTATTTTAAAAGACATTTGTTAAAATAAATTATAAGTTTTGGGTGATAATTAAAAAAAAGATTTTAAAAATAAATTTTAGATATTTGGAATCGTAAAATACCATAGATTCTTAATTTTTATGTTACAAAGTTGCATTAGTTAAAATACAGAAGTTTTAATTATAAAATTCTTGTTTTAAAATCATCACAATAGATTCGGAAATCTATTGTTAAAGAAAGGTGCGTAGCGAATTGGTCATTGTGACTGAGTTGAGTCGAGCGACCAAAAAAGGCATTGTTCTGAAGGTTTATGATTGTTTAAACAAAAATTTTATTACTTGAAACTTGATCAATTTAACTAATGGAAGTTTATAATTTAAAAATTTAGAATCTTTGATATTTCATGTTTCCAAATATCTAAAATTTATTCTCAAAACCTTCATTTTGAAGAAATTATTAGCTATCTCGTGAACTATAACTGATATGTAAAAACTGATATCATTTTTGAATTTTAAGCCAAGAGAGTATAAGGTATACGTAAAACAATCTTCAAAATAATCTGAGTTTATAAACATTAAATATAATGTAAAAATAAACAAAAAATGATTTTAAACATTAAAAAATGTATAATGGTTTCTCGATGGTATACCTAAGTTTTAAAAGGCGTGACGACCCTTTTACATAAAGGAACAAGAATTTAGCCCCAAAAAAGATTTTTTGCTATGCTATAAAAAAATTCGGTGGCAGTCATAAAAGTTTTCATGATTCTTGGCAGTATTTTGAAGGGTTCTATGTCTTTTTCATGTTTTTGAGCTGCAATTGTAAGAAAAAATGCTCAAAAACACCAGACATTCTGATTATTTTTCTGATGTTTTGTCATTATTTTCTTAGTAGGGTTGCGTTTTATTTTAAGACAATAACTAGAGGAGCTCCTACGGACAATTGGAAAGATTAGACTTTTTCAAATTGTTTGTCAAAAGTTGTATTCCTTTTAATGCGCTTCTGAAATTCGAAGCAGTCTATTGAGAAGAATAAACATTTCATATTTACTTGTCAGTAGTTAAGCTATGAGAGCACGGCCCAGTTACCGACCGTCGGTAAGGTAGATTTCCTAATAGCTCACTTTCAAGTGGGTTAGAAGGGGTGTTATGTTTTACCGACCGAGTTTTAGTACCGTCCGCCACCGCTAGATGGCGCCACTTTATTTTTTTGTTTAATTTAAACTCCCTTAGAGGGGTATTAAAATACTTATTTTTAAACTTTCAAGTTGGTTAGAAAGGGTGTTCTGTTTTACCGACATCTATGTTCAGGCTGCCACCGAGAGATGGCGCCACATATGAATTCTGACCCACTTGGCGGGAAATTTAAATTTTTTATTTTTAAACTTTTAAGTGGGTTAGAAGGGGTAATTTTAAATTTCGCGCCACTAAGTGAAAGTTGGTTAGTGTTCTGCTTTACCGACTTTGATAATAATGCCCCTATAAAAATGCCGGTAAATTACCGGCTGATGGTAAGTTACCGACCGATGGTAAGTGTTACCATCAGTTGGTAATGCAGATTTCTTTCACAATTTTTGGTCGGGTCAGTAGGTCAGAGTTCTGCATTACCTACCGATGACCCACTTGGGTTCTTCATCACAGCTTGATAACTTCAAGTTATCTATGTAGTCGGCGTTTACTACATTGTGGTAGGAGAGTTGCGCGCGCATGTGGAGTAGTAGGGAGTTGCGCAGTGGGGAGGTGAATATAGTGGGGACTGGGGTATAAGTTACGTAGCGCGGGCCAACACACTCATTCTTTCTTTCAGCTTCTATCATTTTAGGTAAGTTTCTCTTCCAGGTCTTGTTCTCTCTTTCAGGTCTCTTTCTCTTTAACATTTCTTTTCAACATTTTTTTCCTTTTCTATGTTTTAATTTCAGGTTTATTTCTAAGTTTTTCAGCTTTATTTCCAGGTTTTTTTTGTTTCATTTTTCAGATATATTTTCTAAGTTTCTTTTTCAGATATATTTTTAAAGACTTTTTTACAGCTATATTTTTTAAGTTCTTTTACAGATATATTTTCTAATTTTTTTTCAGCTTTATTTTCTAAGTTCTTTTACAGCTATATTTTCTAAGTTTCCTTTTTCAGATATATTTTTTAAGTTTCTTTTTAAACTATATTTTCTTAGCTTCCTTTTACAGCTATATTTTCTAAGTTTCTTTTTTAGCTATATTTTCTAAGTTCTTTTACAGCTATATTTTTAAGTTTCTTTTTCAGCTACATTTTCTAAGTTTCTTTTTCAGCTAAATTTTCTAAGTTTCTTTTTCAACTATATTTTCTAAGTTTCTTTTTCAGCTATATTTTCTATGTTACTTTTAAAAACTAATTTTTTTATTACAGTTCTTTGTCTTGTTTTTTTGTTTAAGGTTTTCTTACAGCTAAAAAAAATGGATCTAGAAAAAGTCAACTCTGTTAGGCGATTTGAAGGTTACCTGCCGACGAAGCCGCTCGCGGAATTGATGAAAGATGGACTGTACTACGTCTCAAAAATGAAAAAAGTCCAAACTAAATATGGACCTAGGATCATAGTTGAGATTGATGCTGATTTCGTCACATACTTACCAACAAGATTCATCAAGCTCTTTGAGGATGAACCCACCACCTTGGACATGATGAAAGAAGCTGCGATATCGAAGAAACTTCAAATGAAGTATCTTGGAGGACCGTATAATGTTGTCGAATTTAAATTGTTACAATAAATTGTAAAAAGAAAATGTATATATATTTTAAAAAATTTTGATAAAATAAACACACAAAGTTTTACCTATAAATTGGTTTTAAATTTACTTTCCTTCTCTTACACTGTAAAAAAATCTGGTGTAAAATAACACGAAACTTGTAATTTCACACAACAAAATTATAGGTTGTACGTAGTAAATTTATTTCGTTCCAAAAGTAGTTTTACTATTTTTAATAATTTTACATTATACGACTATGTAATTTAATAGTTTTGTGTAAATTTACTACGTCCGACGTAGGAAAATTTGATCACTATGTCCGACGTGGTATTTTTACATTGCGTGTATTTCTACACTTTGACGTAATATTACGTCGCACGATCTGTACAATTACATGGCGAATGTAATTTTCTTATTCCTTTAAGATTTTCAAAAAATTTTCAAGTTTTTATAAATAACTCTAAAAAAGTGTATATAATGTACATTTATAGAAAGTATATGCTAATTTATAAGTAAATAATAATATAACAAAAAGTTTTGGGCTATATTTCATAAATACAAAAAGTTACGACTGAAAATATTATTTCAAAAAATATTTGCAGGTTATGTAGATTACAGTCGGCGTGTAAAAATACCACGTCGGACATAGTGACCAAACTTTCCAACGTCGGACATAGTAAATTTACAGCAGATTTTTTTACAGTGTAGTATAAGTTATTTTTCAAAATTAGAATAAGTTTTATTTTCAGGAATTATAAAGGAGTTTAAATTAAATTTTAAAGGATAGGTTGTTTTTTGAAATTAAGAAGCATTGTTTTAAATTTTAAATTAATAATATTTATTTTTGAAAACTTAATAACTATATTTACAAAATAGATTCACAATTTTCATAGAAAGATTTTAAAGTAGAGTCAGTTTTATCAATTCCATTAGAAATAGCACTTATATATTGGTTTGGAGGTTCCAAAAACCAATCGCGTAGAATTTTAACATTTTTTACAGCACAATTTTCACTACAAAAAGTATGATGCGTACACGTCGTTAACAAATCAGACTTGATTTTTTTCAACGATGGACAATTAAAATCTTCCAAGTTTTGTACGTTGAGTAAATATTTTTCTAGCCAATTCTTTTTTTCTAAACCTTTAACGTAAATTATACTTGCACTTGGAAGTATATCTTGTAGAATTGGTCGAACTTCATCGTATGAGACGTCTCCAGCTGTCCAATGGATTCCATGGTAATTATGTGTTAGCCAAAGATTTTCACTTTTGTAGCGTCCTGGCAGTGAATTCCAAGGACAAGGAGGTTCAAAAAGGTAGACGAGAGGCTGTGCATCTGGTTGAAGAGGAAGTATCGCCAACTCTTTAAAGACTAACTCGTTGTTGGCTCTTTTAAAACCTTGAACGTCTACGATAAACTCCATTTTGAAGCAGAAATGAATTTCTAGCCGAGAGCAGCTGCTTTTATAGTAATCACCCCCACCACTACCACATTATCCCCACTCCTTTACAATAGTTTCTTTACAACGCCGCTGATTGGCTTATATTGTATGACGCGGTCATGGATTATTAAGCAATAGGCGGTGGTCTCGGCTGGCATGTTGATTCCTGCTTCAAATTCTAACCTCACATCAACTGATGTTTGTTTTAGAAACTCGTTGTCTTGTTGTCTTATTTTCTTTCCTTGAACTTTTAGACCTAGTTCTTGCAGAAAGAGGCGATTCTGAGGTGTTAACACCTTGTGAGATAAATTTAGACTGATTGGACTCTTGCATATTGGTTGACTTTTATAGTTTCCACCAACAACAGCTCTTTGATTATAAACGATTCCCATTACAAAGACTTTATATGCAATCGAATTGTTATAGTTTCTCCTCTAAAATTGATTAATTCACCGTCCTGATCAACAATTCGCAGCTGTATACTATGTATTGTCTTGGTGGCAATCGGAAGGTAAATGACGTGTGCAGGCACTTCCACAATCCTATATCCTGGTGGAACGCTAGGAAAAAATTCATGGATAGTGTGAACTTTTTGGTTATTTATATACGCTCCAGATGTTATGTTGCACTCAATTCTAACTGAATTAACCTTTAAAATGGCTACAGGTAAATCAGAAGTATGTGCCCTATGAGATGACAGTTTCTGCGATCTAAATCCCAACAACTAACCAATCGAATGTTTAGGTTTAAAATCAATTGGTAAATTAGATTCAACAATAATGCGTAATGTATTATTATTAGGTTTTATACTAATAACAGTTCCAGTTTTTACAGAATTTTGAATATATGATTCAATATCTTTAATTTCATAACTTCCAGTTGGAATATCAATTTTTTGATTTCCAACGTAAAACTTGTTATTTCCTTTATCAATATTGGGAATTGAATTAAAAGTCAATAGTTTAACAAGACCAAGTACATAACTTTTATTTGAATTTAGTTCTATTGGAGGGAAATATTCAGCTCCCAGAACTGAAGAATTTCCTGTTAACGTTAAAGTAAACGAATCACTCATGTTGCTGTCAGATTGTATACTGAAAGCTTACAATAGTTACACACTTTTATAAAGGTTAAAACAACTCTTAATATTTAGTTGATTACACAAAAATTTAAGACACAAGTGTCCACATACAAATGTATCATAATTTTGATGTTTTATGATTATATTTTATTAAGCTACCATCACCCAAGTAAATGACAAGATCTGTTGGTGGAGCAAGATTACCAAAACTATCAAAATACATTGTTTCGTTTTTGAATTTTTTATATGCTACCCAATGTGTTCCAGCACCTTCTTTATTATCAAGATTAATTATTCCTGATTCACACGTGTAAGGACCACTTACAGGTAGTTCATTTCGCATAAAAATACCACGAAAATGAGGTATTTTGGCAGCTTTGGCATACTTCAACAGATCAAAATCAGTTAGTGGACGGTGAGGTAGCTTCAAAACAAGTTTTTTTTGCTTCTTGTTGTTTGCTTCTTTTTTCTTGATGTTTGATTATTAATTCCTTTTCCTTGAATGTAGGGTTTCAAGTGGAGACCAAGTCCTTGTCGATAAGGTTTAAGGTGTAATCCCTTTCCAAGCGATATGGCTTCCATAGTTCTATTGTGACGTTGAGCTTCTGCAAGCTGTTCACTAGCTGTTTTAGCTTTATTAACAGCCCTTGCTATTCCTGAAGCACCTCCAGCAAGTGCTCCTAAAACACTCAGTCCAGCAAAAATTGGAACTAGCGGTAAAATTCCACCTACTTTAATAGGTACAGGAAGAATTCTAGGTGATAAAATTTTAGATTTACCGCCCACACTTTTTATTGCATTTTGGGCACCAATCATAGCTGCTCTTATTGATTCTTCAGCATTATTACTGAGAAACATACTTTTTCGAGTAGCATCAACAATTTTTCTTAGCGCTATTTGCTTCTTCTTACACATTGTTTTACTCTTTTTCTTCTTTATAGATGATTTTCTTTCCATTTCCATGCCTAATTTTGATTTAGCTTTCATGGTTCCGGATATAGCTAAAGCTGCTGCTCTTTCACTCACACCAGAATCTTTAGCTGTAACACGTTCCCACGCTTTCTTAGCTAATACTTTATCTGCTTCGTTTCTAGCTTGAATATTTTCACGATTTTGCGAATATGCAATGTCGTGTTGTTTACATGCAGCGTCTAGTGGATTAATTCCCTGATCACCTCGAGACAAACGCTTTGCCAACTTTGTACCAGGTCCACAGAATTGATATCCTGGTAAATGTAACTCAATCGGTAAACTATTGATGATACGATTCATTAAACCTTTTCCTTGATAGCGACCTTTTTTTACCTCCTGATGCAGAATCATACTTCACTCTACAATGGTTGACGTGAAACTGACAAATTGACTATAAAAGCTAGGTATTTATAGATTTTCGAGCAGTTACTGTCAAGATGCAGTTCACGAAACAACCTATCGCACTGCCAATCTCTAGTATAGATGTTGAAACTAATGAAAAAAAGATTAATCGTCACGGTAGTCTGTTTTCAGACAGCATTCGAGCAGTTTTCTGTGGCCCCTCAAATTGTGGTAAAACAAATGCTCTTCTTTCCCTAATAATACATCCAAATGGTCTAAGTTTTGAAAATATTTACCTCTACTCTAAATCTCTACAGCAGCCGAAATATAGATTTTTAGAAAATGTAATCAGTCAGGTAGATGGTGTTGAGTATTTTCCATTTAGTGAACATGAAGAAGTAGTATCTCCAAAAGATGCTAAAGCAAATTCAATATTCGTTTTCGATGACATTGCTTGTGAAAAGCAAGATAATGTTAGAGCTTTCTTTTGTATGGGCAGACATGTAAATGTTGACAGTTTCTATTTATGTCAAACGTATGCTCGTATTCCTAAACATCTTGTTCGAGATAATGTTAATTTATTGGTTCTATTTAGGCAAGATGAAAAAAATTTGAAACATGTATACGAAGATCATGTTAATACAGATATGAGTTATACTCAATTTCGTGATTTATGTTCAGAATGTTGGAAATTAGACAAATATGGATTTGTTGTTATTGATAAGGACCGTAATTTTAATGACGGAAGATATAGAAGAGGATTTGATTGCTTCATTTCACTATAAATACAAGAACTTTATTGAATTTTTCATTAGTATAGTTTATCTTGTCTCGAAGAAAACATGTATCGAAAAGAGCAAGAAACGCTTCGTCAAATAGCAAAAGCAAGTGATGCTATTAGGCGGAAACATCGTTTACTCAAAATGGGTAAAGAGGCTGGAAAGAAAAAATATTTAAAAACTGCTGGGTTGATTAAACTTTTATTTAAACAAAGACCTAATCATGCATTAATAAGTCCAGATGATTTGGAAAATTATAAAGAAATTCTTGTAGCTACAAATGCACACCGAAAAAATTATAGTTCCAGTGGACTTGTCAACGTAACCAGAAATTCTAAATACACTGATGTCATTGCAAAACTTTTTAAGGGTACACCAAAAAAGGGTAGTGGTGTTTTGAAGAAGAAGAGGCTTGGAAAGAAATTACCTCAATTTATGATTTCAAAGAAACAATTTAACCCAGACTACATCTATTGGAATAATCCAAATGAACTAGTTGACCATTTACGTCTGCTAGTAGCATCACAGCAAGCTGGTAATCCAAGCCATAATAATGAAATTATGTCAATCATCGAAGAACTACGTGAAGCTCGCATTATATATTAGGAGAGTACAAGCAAATAGAGCTTAGTATTAAAATGAGCATTGATGTGTTTGGACATCCCTTGTCACGGCCTCTTGCAAGTCGTGGACTTCCTGGACCTTCTGAAATTGGTTTTAAAATTACTCCAAGTGAACAATACGACATTGATAACAAAAGACTTTGCAACGTTCAAGACGCTGAAGAGCAACGAGACGCTGTAAATTTAAGACTTACACAGAAAATTATTAAAAACGAGATAAAAACAGTTTTTCAAATTACATCTTCTTTACGATCAGCTATTGATGATTTGAATCTTTATATTCGAATTATCGAGGATAGAGTAAACGAAAAACTTAAAGAAATTGAATCACAGAAAAATTACATTATCAAAGAGGCTAAATTTATTCAACAGTGATGGCTGATCAAAAATTAACAGTTGTAACTGAACTGCATAAACAAGCTAGAAGAAATTATCCTCGTCGAAAAGTTCAAATGCGTGGTATAGATGAAACCTGGCAAGCAGATTTGGTTGAAATGATACCTTATTCTTATTCTAATAAAGGTTTCAAATACATGCTCACAGTTATAGACATATTTTCCAAATATGCCTGGGCTGTAGCTGTAAAGAGTAAGAATGGAAAGGATATTTCTTTAGCCATGAAAACTATTCTCAAACAAGGCCGAATTCCAAAAAATTTGCATACTGATAGAGGCAAAGAATTTTACAATTCTGAATTTAAAAGTTTAATGCAAGAATTTAACATTAATCTCTATTCTACATATAGTAATTTGAAAGCCTCAATTGTTGAAAGATTTAACCGCACTCTAAAAAACATGATGTGGCCTGAATTCAACTTACAAGGCAATTATAAATGGATTAATCTTTTACCAACTCTCATGTCAAAGTACAATAATAAAAAACATCGTACTATTGGTATGAAACCCAAAGATGTCACCGTAGAAGATACAAGAGAACTGCTGAGACGTATCCGTAAACTACGTAGAATTCCGCTGAAAAGATCAAAATTCAAAGTTGGAGATAGAGTTCGAGTTAGCAAGTTTAAAAATATCTTTGAAAAAGGATATACTCCCAACTGGACAACTGAAATATTCACTGTGGAAAAAGTTAAATCAACAAAACCAGTTACATACAAGCTGAAAGATTATCAAAATCAACCCATCGAAGGTGGTTTCTATGAAGAAGAATTGCTGAAAGTCCCATATCCAGATGTTTACCTTGTAGAAAAAGTTCTCAAGACTAATGGTAATGATGTATACGTGAAATGGCTTGGATTCGATAGCTCACACAATAGTTGGATAAAAAAATCTGATACGTAATATAGTTAAAGTAACGTTAAAGTAAAGTTAAAGTAACGTTGAACTAACGTTAAAGTAAAGTTAAACTCACGTTAAAGTAAAGTTAAAGTAACGTTAAAATAAGTTAAAGTAATGTTAAAAAAGTTAAAATAAGTTAAAGTAAGATAAAATAAGTTAAAGTATAGTTAAAAAAAGTTAAAATAAGTTAAAGTAAGATAAAATAAGTTAAAGTATAGTTAAAAAAAAGTTAAAATAAGTTAAAGTAAGATAAAATAAGTTAAAGTATAGTTAAAATAAGTTAAAGTAAGATAAGTAAAGTTAAAATAAGTTAAATTAACGTTGAAGTATAGTTAAAATAAGTGAAAGTAATGTTAAAAAAAGTTAAAGTATAGTTAAAATAAGTTAAAGTAACGTTGAACTAACGTTAAAATAAATTAAAGTATAGTTAAAATAAGTTAAAGTAACGTTGAACTAACGTTAAAGTAAAGTGAAAGTAACGTTAAAGTAAAGTTAAAGTAACGTTAAAATAAGTTAAAGTAACGTTAAACTAACGTTAAAGTAAAGTTAAAGTAAAGTTAAAAATAGCTAAAACAAGTTAAAATATGTTAATGTAAAGCTAAAATAAGTTTAAAAATAGTTTAAAAAAGTTATAATATAGTTAAAATAAGTTTAAAAAAGTTAAAATAAGTTAAAATATAGTTAAAATAAGTTAATGTAAATAGATTAAGGTTTTTTTTAAATAAAGTAGACATACAATAAAATTGAAACATTTTGTTTATTAAATCTATTTCCTGGTACTCCTCCTCCATTTTCATAACAAATAATTTTCTATTTACATTGGTTCAACATCATCATCGTCGATTTCTAGAATTTTATAGTGTCCCCATGCAAGGGTGTCGGTGCTGTTGTCTAAAAGATACCTCTTATCGTCATAAGGACTTAGTGCGACCTTTGTTTGTTTTAATGTTTGTACATTGTGTAGTTTCGACCTAATAGAATACTGGGTTCTTGATTGAATTGTAACATTTCTCAGACAATAAACATAATCATCAAAATTAATATCTTTTTTTACAACTCCAGCTTTTACACCTTTAGCCTTTTTTATTAAATCTTTCTCTTCTACGCGAACGCTGTACATTTTGCTCCGCAAGCCAACAAATTCTGTTACAATTTTCCCGCAGCATTCATCCTTCATGAGACCTAATATCTTTTTGTTGGCTTGCGGAATATTGTACACGTTATTAACCGGATAATCAGAAGTGTCGAATTTCATAATGTCTTGTTTCATATCGGCGTAAATGTCTGAGCACTTGATTTCATAAATCAGGCTATCGGTGTCGGTGTACAATAATTTCAAATTTTTTTCATCATACTTGTTCAACATATAATCATAATGGAAGTCGTAGATCAAAGTTTTTGACACATCCTAAACAGTCAAGCCAACATACACCGGCTTGTTCATGAAAACCTCCATTTTCCTAAGTTCCACAGCAACCAAATTCTCATTAAAGATTGCCCTGCTGTGGAAATTAGGTTTGGAAATTAGGGCTTCAGCTCCATATCTACCCTTCCACTTTGTCACAAGTTTAATGTCCACATGTTTTCGCACGTTCTCCATTGTTTTGCCAAATACCGCGTTGTTCATCAATTTAAACAAGTTTTTCTTAAATTCATTACTGGCGTTTGTTCTTCGCGTGGTATTAAAGTCAATGTAACTTTTCAACCATGTGGATTGATCGAATTTTAAGACGCGATGGATTTTAACTAACACGAGACCATTGGCAATAGCTTGTTTTAAGGCACGATAATGGAGAACGTGCTTCCGTTTCGGTAGGAGGATAGTTAGGAGCTTCTCTTCTTTTGACCCTGGTGGCTTCGAGCGTTCCGGACAAAATGGAAAATCGCTGTGTTTATCGTGAAGGTGATCTGGATAATCCAAATCAACTTCTAAAATGTAACCCGTAGGCGCATCGTCTGCAACATTGAAATCAAAACTATTATCAACATTCTCTACCCACTTGAAGCCACCATGGGGAAGCGGTTGAACCATTGCCCAACCGTATAGATTATTTGCGTCAAAGTATACGATGTAAGACGTGTCCTCATTTTTATCAAATTTTTTCATGTAAGGATTGTTAGCTTTTGCATATCGATTTGTACATTGACTTACACCACCTCTTATTCCTCGTTCAATAAACATTACCATGTCAATGTCTGTCAAGAGTTCAAGTCTTACATGCATATACTTTAACATTGCGTCCCAAGTCAAACCCGGTGTAGTATAATAGTGTGCTGGATCTAGACCGTACGAGATTAAACACTGGTTTCTGAAATTTTCGAAAATGTCCGCGAGTAACAGTATGTCGGTTTGCATGTACAAGTATACATAATCACCAAGATTTTGACAATTAAATTCACCCCACACTTTCTGCGCATGTGCATAGTCTTCATCAGAAACATTCGAATCGTTTAACGTGCTATAAAACTTATCTTTCGGCGGTAACTCTGTTTCGTCGAGTTTTTCCCTTGAATCAATGTATTCATAAGGAAAAACTCCTTTTCGCGTTAATAATTGAATTTTATCGTCGCTGTAATTTGAAAAGACTGAGTTTACAATTTTGTATTCATCGAGATAGGATGCTAACTTGTCCAATGATGATGCCATAAATTTAAATGAGTCGATAAAACGGAACTTTGAAAAACTACCTTTTACATTTTTAGTAAAACTAATATACTTTTCCTTGTTTATGGGAAGCAGATACACATTACCTTCAAAACCAGTAGCAATAGCTTCAATAATGAAATGCGCGTCATAGCCGCTAAGATTATGAAAAACAACGGGTATGGTCTGCGATTCGTGATAGTTAATGTTACAATCTTGATGCGCGGGTCCACGATACTTCCCTGTTAGATGACAATGATCTCGTACTTTAATATCACCATGCGCGATTTTATTATTGCAAATATGACATGTACTTGCAAATCTAAAATCAGCCATCTGTTCTCGACTTAACACTTCTATTGGTACAGGATTCTTAAAACGTTTATCTAGATCGTCAGACAAGTTTTTTAACTCTGTTGAAAACCATTTAGCCGGTTCTTCGTCATCTTTAGGAGATGCTTTGTATACAGATAGAGAGTCATCAAAGGCACATTTCAAATAATAGCCAATACTGAGCGTTTTGTGAGTTTGAAAAACCTCAGTATTGCTAGGTTCTGGTGGCGCTTCAGAAGGAATTAAGAGGCTTTTACAATCTGCGTAAATAATAAAGGGCACACGCTCCTTGTTTGAGAAATTTTTGAACTCAACAATATTCTTCCGTGGTTCTGGCAGCACAATTCTCGTCTCATTCATCTTTCGGCAGCTTTCCTCGTGTTCGGTTAGCTTTACTTCTTCCTTAAAATAATGTAGAAAACGATCACAAATGTATTTTTTGCCATTATGTTTTGACAGTTGACTGCTGACAATCTTTGATAAATCCTTGATCCACACATAATGGTAATTGAAAGAAATAATGGCTACTTGGTCCTCCTCCTCCTCCACATCAAGATTTTCGTCAATGTAGTGGTCTTCAATTCGTAGAAGATTCACATGCATAACCTTCTTTTGCGTTGATAGATGTAAAGGTGCCACTGAAAACTTTTCATCCTTTTTCACAAGACCATAGACATTCACTGAAATGTTATTGTGAGCCTCAAATTTTGAAATATCTTTTAGCGCAACAGGGAACTCAATTCCAGTAAAATCAAGCGTGTGCTCATAAGGTCTGTACTTTGAAACTCGATCTGAATGCTTTTCAACTTGGTGTAAGGCTGACAAAATTGACCATTTAAAACATTGATTATCTACATTCTGAACATTAATACATGCTTGTTTCCTTTTAATAGCAAGTGGTAAGTCGATATAAGAACCAGCGCGCATGGGATTGTACTTGTTAATGTTAACCTCCAACCTTTCAATAGAATGAAGTCTCCAATTAGAATCTTTCTCTTGGAATTCCTCCATTCTTTTTAAGGTTACTTGTTTAACACAAACATTGTACCAGTCATCTAATGGGGTTGTAACTAAAATGTCACCGGTTTTCGCGATGAATGTCTTTAAATCTGATATTTCTTGGGTTTTACCATCAATGGAATCTTTAACAAATTTCGCGAACAATACAGTGTAAACTTTTAGCGGACCAAACCTGTTTAAAGCTTTTCAATGTTAACTTTAAATAAACTGAAGGCATCATCAAGGAATTCATTAATATCCTTGTAATCTAAATTCATTACAGCACTATTTTGTAAACGACCCTCAAACGCTTCTTCAAAATCCACCCATTTCATTCCTTCATTCACTACTTGAACACCCGCACCACGTTTCGTTAGAGTATCAAAATGGTAGAGCAAGTATTCCATTTTTTGTCTTAAATTTAAGCACCTAGATCTTTGAGATGAAGAAAAATCAGACTCACGTAAAAAGTTTCGGAAAATGTTTATATACCGTTGACACTTGTTCTGCCATTGGAATGCTGTAACCATTTTCTCCTCGCTAGTCATAGCCATCGTTGAAATGAGCTGACGTTCTGCTGTTGTAATGAAGTTGTCAGATTCTTGACACATTTCATTGTACTCTTCCATGTCAATACGTTGACGAGACTTCTTTCGCGATTTGCACTTTGGCATCTTGATAGCTAAATCTGAAAGAAACTTTAAAAAAAAAATACGTCTAAAACTAAGAAAAACCTGAAAAAAACTAAAATAAAAAAAATCCTAAAAAACTCAAACTAAAAAAAATCCTGAAAAACTCAAACTAAAAAAAAATCCTGAAAATAAACAACTAAAACTAAAAAAAATCCTGAAATAGAAAAAATCACCACCACCACCTTAAAACTAATACAAAATAGAACAAAAAAACCCTAAAATAGAAAAACAACCACGACCAACTTAAAACTAATGCAAACTAGAACACAAAAATAAAAAAAACCTATAATAAAAAATCAATAACTCCTAAATTCAAAACGAAAAAAAAACTCTGAAAATTGTCTCTGAAAATTAACTCTGGAAAGAAACTCTGAAAACTCTGTAAAGAAACTCTGGAACCCTGAAAACCTGGAAGTAGACTGCTGCACCATTCAAGATGCAACTGATGTTTGTGACCCGCGCTCCGTAACTTATACCCCAGTCCCCACTATAATCACCTCCCCACTGCGCAACTCCCCACTACTTCACAGACGCGCGCAACTCTCCTACCACAATGTAGTAAACGCCGACTACCGGGATAAATTGAAGTTAACATAACCCAAGTGGGTCAGATGTGGGGTTCGTAGCAAGCATTACCGACGTTGCGTTCTAACGACAGAGAAATCTTTTCTCTTGCGTATAAGGCATGAACGTGTATGTGTGAGTGTCGCGTATGTGTGTTTCGCGCCTTTTGTACAGTTGCGTCTGGGACCTTGCTTGAGTAGCACGCTTTATACACGGCTACAATAAATAGTCATTTTTAAAGAGAATATCATTCATTTATTTATTTAAAACCCTTCATCGTAAATGTGCAATATGTTGGGAAGCCTTCGGATTTATGACACTTATTAATCTCGTTTAAATAATTATCAAATTCCCACATTGGTGACCCCGACGTGATTTCAAAGCACAAGGGGTAATCGTAAAAAATCGCGTCAATCGTGAACAATAAAGTGAAGGTGCAGTGACATTAATTTTATAAAAAATTCTCGGGACAAAGTGGTGAAAAAAGTTTACAAAAATCTGCGAATTTCGAGGAGTTACTGCAGAATCTTTTCGGAGCACATGTTCGCACGTGTAGACGCCACGCCATTGCCCGCCAGGAAAACTGCATCATTCATTGCTCACCATCTACTACAAAAAAAAATAATTATACATTGATATTTTCTCTTTTTTTCAAGAAAAATTAAGAATTTTTTATTATATTTTTTTCCCATTTTTTTTAAGACTTACAAAAGTACGAGCTCATAATTATTTATTTGACAGCTGGTCCCAGCCAACACGGACGCTTCACGGGAAGCCAAATACTCTCCAGAAATCCGCCAAGGGTTTAAAATTTTTTTAAAAAAATTTTTTTTTCCGTCATTGGACCTCATTGAAGCCATTTTGGAGCATTTTTCCATGACGACGGAGTACCTGCTGGCAGCCATTTTGCAAAGGATTTCCTGAGTGCAGTAAATTTTTTAAACAACGCTTTGGAAAACGGCGCATGGGCAAAAATATTCCTGCCCATGCAACAGGTGTGTATGGTTTACATATTTTCACCCTGTGGCAGTAACAGTTTTCCTCCCCATTGATTTTTAAAATTTTTTTTTGCACGCCTCCTGACTCACCACGACAACGTCCAAGGAGGGCATTTTCCATTTTCCTTGGGTAGAATTCCAGCGTGGTCACATAAAGGTCCAGGAAGCCAAATTATCCAGATATCCAAATTTTTATTAATTGAGGGAAGCAGCAAATAATCTACAACAGAAATAGCAGAGGGTCATCTTCAAGGACATCATTCGTTTTGTTGTCGGGTTATTATTATTTTGTGAGTATTATGAACAGCGGTCCCAACCTTCTTCGGTTTGACTGTTTGAAGAATAGATTGAACGAACGAAATAATATTTCAATTTTCATATTTTATTTTTAAAATTCATTGAGATCTCAGCACTTTTAAAATTCATTCTTATTGATCGATGTAAATTTTCTTGTACCCTCTCCAATTTTTTTTTTATTTTATTTTTTACCTTTTTATTTTATTTTTTTTTATTCTTCAAAAAAAAAGGAAAGAGAAATAAAGGGAAAATTTTTTTTGCTTTTGTTGTGCTCCCTCGTGTCATTTATTCTGTCAGGTACTTTTTATTTAATTTTTTTATCATAGCGTCCATATGTGTTATATTTTATCTAAATTTTGACACATTAGTAATTTTAAATTGTGAATCATTGTTTAATTAGCAGTGCATTGCTCTTTAGCGTTAAGTAATTTTACAAAAATAATTTATCAAGGAGTTATATTTAGCAGAAATATTAAAATTTTTTTTTAGGACATTAATAGTCCATTCAATTAATTAATTTTTATACTCCTAATAAAAAATAATTTATTTTAATAATATTGGTGAAATACCTCAAATTTCAAATATATATTTTTTTTTGCTTTCCGGTAAACTATTGTTTTTTTATATAAATTTATTTAAATAATTGATTTGCTACTAAGTCATAACAGCGTTTCTTATATATATTGAAAATCGGATTTGTTTGCTGTTGTTTTTTTTGCAATATGGCAAGTTCAACGAGCGACGAGTTTGTTACTGAGGATGAGTCCGAGCAAGAGGGGGGGCCGTCGCCGCCGCCGGCGCTAGAAGAAGAAATCGATATAGACCATTATTAAAATTGCCAGTTTTTACCACAAAGAACCGGCCTTGTGGTTCGCTGAAATCGAACTCCTTTTTGATTACTCGCGAGTTACCATGGAAAAAGCCAAGGCTGGCGCAGTGCTGGGCGCACTGGACTTTGAAACTGTTACAACAGTAAGCGATATTATTGTACAAGAAACCCCTCCGCCGGATATTTACAGTCAAATTAAAGAACGATTAATTGCAACTTTTGCAGTATCTTCGGAAGCGCGATTAAGACAATTGTTAAAGGGAGAATTGTCGGGAGAGGGAAAGCCTTCGCTAATCCTAAATCGGATAAAGACCTTAAGTCAAGGAAAATGCGGAGATAAAATTATAAAAACGGTATTTCTCGACCAGTTACCCGCGAATTGTCGCGCTGCTCTTGCACTGAGCGAGGTTACTGCGATAGATAAGTTAGCACAACTTGCGGACCGTTTCTTCGAGGCTTCTGGACAAATTGGCACACCGCAGGTTGCCGCTGTTGTATCGGAAGAATCGCAGGGCAAGGTGTTGAAATTAATTGAAGAATTAACTGCCAAAGTCGACGCGATTTCCGCGCAGAGTAGATTCCGTCCAGCGCAGCAATCCAGCACCTATAACAAAAGAAACCGAAGTAAATCGTCCAATAATAAAAAATATAATAACGACAACGGTAACAGAAACGCGAATTATAAAAAACAATACAATCAAAGTAATGCTCGCAGCAGCACCGGAAACAACAACCAATTATGTTTTTATCACGCGAAATATGGAGATAAAGCACTCAAGTGTGTAGCTCCATGTCTCATGCAATCCGGTACTTCATCGGAAAACTAATTCGGCCGCGTCAAATTAATTGTTTAAATAGTCATTTACTTTCTAAACGTCTACATATAAAAGACCGTAAATCAGGGTTATCTTTTTTAATCGACACCGGTTCAGATGTGTCAATAATTCCGGCAAATTCCCATCAAGAATCTGAAGCTCCACATTATGTTATTTATGCTGCGAATAATTCGCAGATAAATACATATGGTAGTAGCAAATTAAAACTTGATCTTGGGTTAAGTCGAAATTTGTTGTGGAGTTTTTGCATTGCATCCGTTCCATACCCTATTATCGGCGCCGATTTTCTTTCATATTTCGGATTATCGGTTGATTTACAAAATCGTAAATTGTTAGACTTAAATTCATGCGATAATGCCATTTGTTTTTTTAAAAAAGCTAAGGTCACGGACATTAGCTCGATTGACAAGTCGTCACCGTTTTATAATATTATAAATAAATATCCGGATATTATTAACTTAACGAAAAACGAGATAAGAGTCAAACACGGCGTCTTTCATCACATAGTAACGAAAGGTCCACAAGTTTCGCAACGACCGCGTCGCCTTCCGCCGGACAAGTTAGCAGTGGCAAAAGCTCATTTTAAAGCTCTAACCGAGGCTAATAAATGTCGACCGTCGTGTGCAGCTTACGCTTCGCCCATCCACATGGTCCTGAAAGGCGATGGCCAGTGGAGAGTTTGCGGCGATTACAGACTTTTAAATACAGTAACGGTTCCGGATAAATTTCCCATACCTTTCCTACACGACTTTGCAATTAATTTAAATGGTAAACAAATTTTTTCTAAATTAGATTTGCACGCGGCATACCACCAAATACCAGTTTTCCCGGAGGACGTACCAAAAACAGCCGTAACTACTCCGTTAGGATTGTTCGAGTTTTTATTTATGCCATTCGGGCTTAGAAACGCAGGACAAACATTCCAGAGATATATGTTTCAGGCCCTCGGCGATTTAGATTTTATTTTTGTGTATTTGGATGATATCCTCATCGCTTCCAAAAATGTTAAGGAACATGAGGAACATCTTAATATCGTTTGCAATCGATTAAACGAATACGGGTTAAAATTAAATCTTAAAAAATGTGTGGTTTATCAAAAACAAATCGAGTTTTTAGGACACGTTTTGGACAAAAACGGTTTCCGGCCCACGGAGGAAAAAACACGCGCAATTACGGAATTCAGAAAGCCTCGCACGATTCATGACCTTCGTCGTTTCTTAGGACTTGTAAATTTCTACCGTCGTAATGTTCCTCATGCTGCTCAATTACAGCGGCCGTTAAATGAATATTTGCATGATACGCGCAAAAACGACAAACGAGAAATTATTTGGACCGCGGAAGCTGAGCAAGCTTTTATCGCGGTGAAAGAGGCATTGGCGAAGGCTGCCCTCCTCGCTTTTCCATCCCCTAGCGCACCTACACGTCTCGTAACGGACGCTTCGGATCTAGGGATGGGCG